TCTGCTAATCCTTTTGACTAATTTGCCTTATAATTGATGCTAAACTAACCAAATTCAAAGCATTTCTGGCTTCTAGTCTCTTTATAGAGACATCAGTATTTAGGATATTTTACATATTTTTGTTAGAATATTGACAGTTCATTATTTCAACTATTTAAAGATGTTGAAAGTTTCCCTGGTTTGCTTTTTACCTGTGAATATAATATTGACTTCCTCTCTTGTCATCACGATGTCTTTCAATATCCATCCCGAGAATCAATATTTAAGCTTTTGTTTCTTATCTGCAGCCTATGGAGAGAAAATCAATGCCAAGAATTGATTTAACTTTTCTGCAATCTCCTTATCCTCCTTTAACTTCTTTGTCATTCAGCTTTCCAGATTCCTCCCTAGCCAGTTTTCATGATATTTCAAGAAAGCTTTGAAGCCGGTTTTAATGCGTGCCTAGGAGTGTGGAGAGGAACGTTTCTTCAAACAGATCATGATTTGATGATTTAACAGAAACGTTTATGTAAGTTTCCTCGACAGCCACATAAAATTGGGTTGCAACTGCCTTTCTCTCAAGTGATTTTCACAAATTGCTTGGGCTCACCTTTGGCTCTATGCATATCATCATGATCTTTTGAAGCCAACTTTTTACAAAATAACTTTCTTGGCCTTATGAATGAAGGCGAATGTACGTGTCCCAGGATAATATTGCAGGATACAATCTGGGTTGGTGACCAGGACCAGGGGTTTTGTCTTCCAAGCTTTTGGATTCATGCTGGAGTCCATCTTCAGGGAACTTCTCTCTAGTAGAGTGTGTGCTGTTCTGTGTGTGGTATTTATATGGTACCCGTTGTATGTGGCTTTTTTGATGTTGATTGGGGTGGCTGGCTTTTAGGTCATTGGCTGTCTTTGCTTGTGCTTGTGCTGTCCAGCCCTCACCTTCTAAGTACTTGATAGGCTGGTGGTAAATCAGCACTCCTGATGACTGAGGCCTGTTTCCCAGGCTTCAATCACTTCCCTGGCTGTTTTTGTGCCTGCTCATCCAACAATCTTAGTAACAATCTTAGTCTTGGCATTGCTTGTTGATTGCAACCTTGTGACTAAGCCAGCTGCCAGAATTAAACATGGATGGAAGAGGATTGAAAGTATATTTATACAACTCAAATTCCAAAAGTTTGAGATAAATGTCCTTGTCCCAGGGATCAGTTTACCCTGGAACTAATGCAAGAACTGAAAATACTGGACAGCTCTAGATATGAATGTATCAAGTGTGGTGAAAGGTACACAGTGGTTCATGAAGTTAGAATGCTGGGCTGACAATTGGCAGCTTCGCGTTCGAGACCCATTGCTGCCGTGGGGTGGGGTGAGATCCTGTTACAGGCTCCAGCTCCCACTGACCCAGCAATTCAAAAGCAGGCAACCACAAGTAGATAAATGGATACCATGTTGATGGACAACTTCAGGGGGACACAAAAGGAGCCCCCCAACTGGGCGTCCCCTGAGCCACGGTGATGTCACCAGCAAATCCTTTCATCACAGAAGCACTTTGGTGTTTCCGGTATGGAAATATTAGTATTGGTATCATCTGTGATTGGCTTCAGAAAACGGAATAATGAAATGAAGTACAAAATAAAATGACATATAAGATCCTTACTTCTGCATTATCATGGATGAAAAATGACTTATTATCTCAATTCTGCATGCAGGAAGACAGTGTATATAAGCTGGGGGGGGGTCCAACCCTGGCAATTTTAAGACTTGTGGAAAACTCCTAAAATGTATCAGTCAGCATGGCTGACTAGGGAATTCTGGGAGTTGCAGTCCACAAGTCTGGATATCCTTTCTATACAGCAACCAAACTGATCTTATCAAGTAATTTTTCCATAATGGATAATTATCAACAAATGAACAGAATTAAGTATAACATAATTGGGAGATAATCTCTTCTTTGATGATTGTTGCTTTGCTTATTGTTGATCAACTCATCTTTTTTTTACCCTTTGTCTTTCTGTCTTTCTTCAGACAAACCCATTTCTTCCACCCACTGTGTAGATTTAATGGGAGAAGTTGTGGGGGTTTGCACATCAATTCTGAAAGCATTCTCCATGCAATTTATCTCCATCTTTTAGGCAATTTTCCTTGTTCAAAATAAATAGAGCAGATAATTTCTTACTGGTCATTCTCTTGAACATACGTATTTACATAGCCCCTGGCTATCTAAAAGATGCAGAAAACATTTTCCATAGAAAAGAGAAAAAGTCCAACATGCTAAACGGGATGGATAGTTAGCTTTAGAATTTATAGTTTAAGAGCAGTGTTATATCTAGATCAGGAGCGTCCAGTCTTGGCAATTTTAATACTTGTGGACTTCAATCCCCAGAATTCCCTGGCCAGCCATGATGGCCAGGGAATTCTGTGAGTTGAAGTCCACGGGTCTTAAAAGTTGCCGAGGTTGGACACCCAATCTAGATAATATGCTATAAAGTGGTGCCTGGTTGTGAATAGAAACCATGCAACTTTCCTCTAAGCTAGTCTTCTCCTAACGCAGTGGTTCTCAACCTGTGGGTCGGGACCCCATTTGGGGTCGAATGATCATTTCACGGGGATCGCCAAACAACGCAGTCCGCCATTTTTTTCTTCTTTTCCTTAGCTGTGCTACTCCCTTTTATTCTATTGGCTTTTGAAAGCCAATAGAATAGACTCTCTTGAATAGAGTCTAATTCTATTGGCTTTCAAAAGCCAATAGGAATTGTCCAGGCTGTCTCTGCCCTGCTGAGCCCGCCAAAAGTCCCATTCTGCAAACGGTGCTGCAAGTTGTCTGCAGCCAAGGTGAGCTGTCTGGACGTTTCCACCCCTCCCTGCTGAGTAACTACTAAAAATGTAAGTAAAAGAGGGCCAGGGGTGGGAGGTGGGAGGCCGGCGGGCGCAGGGAGGGTTGCTGGCGCGCGTGGGGCTTGGCAGGTGCCTTACCTCCCTTGGGCTGGGCCAGCTGGTGGCCCAGCCGGTGGTCAGCCTGCGCCATCTCTGCCGCTTGCCAGCTACGCTTCGGCTGGCACAGGGGGCGGCACCATGCATGCGCAGTGCTCCCGGGCAGGGAAAGTCCTCGACTTACGACCGGTTGGGTAGTCCTCGACTTACGACCGGTTGGGTAGTCCTCAACGTATGACCGGTTGGGGGTCACAGCATTAAAAAGGTTGAGAACCACTGTCCTAACGGGTGTCTTCTACGTGTGCTGAAATTGTAGCTTCTAGAATTCTTGGATAGCATGAGTACAGTAACAGAATGAATAACAGAATTGAAAGGGATCTTGGAGGTCTTCTAGTACAACCCCCTGCATAAGCCTACATCATTTCAGACAAATGGTTGTTCTGTCTCTTCTTTAAAAACCTCCAATGATGGAGTACCAGAACTTCTGGAGACAAGTCGTTTCAGGAAATTTCTCCTTAGTTCTAGATTGGTTCCCTCTTCAATTAGTTTCCATCCATTGCTTCTTGTCCTGCCTTCGGGTGTTTTGGAGAATCTTTCCCTGTACATCTGGAGGTTTCAATGTTCAAAGCCGTAAAAGCAAAAATCCCCCAATTTCACCTAACTGAGCCAAATTGCCTTTTTGATTGCTGCTTTCTCCCTCTAACATTTCCTTCAAGTCAGTCCAGCTCATAAGAAAAAACCCATTTAACTCTTCTTAAGGTGCACTAATGTTGAAATAGAGCTTTTCTTCTTATTCCATCACTCTGAAAATGTGGCCTGGAGAGGTATAAAATCTTTCCCCCATTAATGCAGAGTTGAGAAGGTTTGAACCTTCCAGATGTAGAGAATTGTTACAGTACAATTCCATCAACTGTAGACATTGGTCAAGTGGACTGGAACTGATAAGAATTTAACAAAATAACAGAGTTGGAAAGGGCCTTGTCTGTCTTCTAATCCATTCCCCTACTCAAGCAGGAAACTCTATATCATTTCAGACAAATGGTTGCCCAATCTCTTCTTTAAAACCTCCAGTTTTGGAACACCCACAACTTCTGGAGGCAGGTTGTTCCACTGATTAATTTTTCTGACTGTCAGGAAATTTCTCCTTAGTTACAGGTTGCTTCTCTCCTTGATTAGTTTCCATCCGTTGTTCCAATCAAACTTGGAAGGATGCAAGTTTCTCCACTCTGCTGATGGGTAGAATAGATTACCTTCCTCCAGATGACAGCATAGGAGATTCCAATTTATAATCCCCACAACACATAAAAACAAAACCCCAAATATTCTGATAGGTTGAGAATTAGCATAGCAGGGAAAGGGCAAAATCAAACATTGTTCTATTTGTAGAGAGCTTTGACTCTTGAACAGCCTTCAAAAATGACAAGGTCAGTTTGAATTGGCTGAGTCCATCCCCATCTTCTTCTGCTCTAGGTATACAATAGGGAAACTAAACTATTGGTCCTATTTGACATGTGCAGAAATGGCTCTATAAATAATACATCTGATTCCTGAGACTCATTAACTCTTTCCTTCAATGAAGGATGCCTCTGTTCTTCCTCCCCTCACTTGGCTCCCAACACTGCCTGCTACTAATCCCTTGGCCTACCCTAATTCTCTACGTTCTTCTGCCATCTTTCCTTGTAGGATAACAAAAATCTTGACTGTAATCTATTAATTGAATAATTGAGTAAACTTGTTTCCCTAGCAGTCAGAACACATTGTTTGCACACACATGGTGTCATCCCAAGCCCTCTGGCTACTGAGAGATTGCCAGATATGTTTATTAAACCCCCTGTGCTTGGAAAGAACACAGAAATCTGTCATCTGGGGTAATAGGAAAGTGCCTATCTCAGCTGGAGACCGAGCTGTTATGAATAAAAGAAGAGTTTGCATTACAGTTTGGAGGTGCAAAGGAAAGCCTTCCCTATGGTGCAAATGTGTTGTAGCCCTCAGGCAAGGAAGAGGGAAAAAATAATATTGACTCCTTGCTGGCAGTGCTATATAATTATTGAGTTTGCTTTTGCTCGATCAGCGTCTGAAGGGAAACATCCTGGTGAAATGAGGTTGGGAGCAGAACCAAGCAAGCGGCAAGGTGTAAATTGTTAGGCATTCAACACTCAAGAAATTAAAAGGGAGCCTAGAACATCTAACCATGGTTCAGCCCCCGATCTGACAAGGAAACTGAGTGAGTGATCCCATGCTACATGCAGACAGTGGTTAAGTGGTAAGTGAACTATTTATTTGTATCCTGCCTTTATTATTTTCACAGATGACCCAAGGTGGCAAACCTATCTAACACATCTTCCTCCTCCTATTTTCTCCACAGCCACAACCCTGTGGGGTGGGGTGGGTTGATTAGAGAGGTACTGGCCCAAAGTCACTCAGCTGGTTTTAATGGCTAAAGCAGGACTTGAACTCACAGACTCCAGCTTTCTAGCCTGATGCCTTAACCTCTAGTCCAGACATGTCAAACTCGTGACGTCATGTGATGTCGCGCAACGTATCAGAGCTTTTTCGCCATTGCCGGCAATGAGGTGGGCACGGCTCCAGTATGATGAAACCAGCCTGCGGGCCAGCAGTTTGACACCCCTGCTCTAGTCCAAACTGGCTTTCCAATTTGATTCTTGTTGTTGGATGAAAATTGCAGTATTAACAATATTGATTCACTTTTATATTAGAAAAAAAAATAGCCTGGTTAGATTCCTCACCTGTCCTTCAAAGCTATTGCTTGAATTATAAAGGGAAAACAGAACATTCCTAACTCAGACAATGAGGATTACCTTCGTGACTCCTTGATCGGTGTGCTGATTTTCAAATTGGACATCATGTGATAATTTGGTTGTAGTAAAAGGCATCAACGAAAGCCATAAATCCACTTAATATTTTTCTTCTCAACCATCAGCAACTTTTAACCAGATGACTGAGAATCTCCATAGATTTTTACTGTTACGTCCACTTATTTCCCTATCCTGTCAACATTTTTGGAATTAAAAGACATTCTGGACAAGGTGTAAAGGTGATGCCAAGACCTATGAAAAAAGGAATTGCAGCTGTGTGTCTTAGTAACTTTGATGATTTAAGGGGGAAAAAAATCCCTTAGTTTTTCTGCAGTTTCAGATAAACTGCAGTCTGGAGAAGAAAAATGTTTGTGTACCAAACCAACTTTATGTTAGCAATCTCTCGTTCATCCTGTTTGCCTTTCCTTAACTGCAAATGAAGGCAGAAAGGTAGATCTTGTCTAACATGACAATGAATTTTAAGAAGAGATTGGGCAACCATTTGTCTGAAATGCCTGAGCAGGGGGCTGGACTAGAAGGCCTCCAAGGTCCCTTCCAACTTTGTTATTCTGAACTTCTAAAGAAAAAAGAGTACAGAACCAGTTAGCACATAAAACATGGGTGGAGTTTTGAGTGCACCAACACAGCTGCCATCTTGACATTTTGACCACACCCTGCAGACACGTCTGACTGTTAACAAAATATCTGCATAAACTGTCTGCAGAGCTATTATTATTAGACAGTGATGTGCTAATTAACATTGGGTTCGTGTAGTACAGCTAGTCAGGGCAATTAAAAAAAACCCATGATTACATGCACACAATATGCTAAGCTTAATTTTAATCTTGGCTTGGTGTTAGCATGCTGTGAGGGCCTAATCCTTTCAATTAATTTGTCTTGTGGTATGTACAGGTAGTGCGCAACTTACAACCGGGGTTGGGATCAGAATTTCAACAACTTCGCCGTTGTTAAGTGAGCCACATCCAGTTTTATGACCGTTTTTGCTGCAGTTGTTAAGCAAATCACTGCACTTGTTAAGTAAATCAAGCAGTTGTTAAACAAATCCAGCTTCTCCCATTGACCTTGGTTGCCAGAAATTGGCTGGGAAGGTTGAAAATGGCAATGACACGAACCCAGGACACTGCAACCGTTTGTAAATACCTGCCAGTTGCTACACGCCAGAATTTTGATCACGTGTGACTGTGCAAATACAGGAGGTATGTATTGCTATGACAGTGCAAATACAGGTAGTCCTCGATTTACAACAGTTTGTTTAGTGACCATTCAAATTTACAACAGCACTGAAAAAAGTGACTTATGACCGTTTTCCACACTTACGACCATTCCAGCATCCCCATGGTCACCTGATCAAAATTCAGAGCTTGGCAATTGGTTCAGATTTATGACGGTTGCAGTGTCCGAGGGCCGTGTGATCCCCTTTTGCGATCTTCTGACGAGCAAAATCAGTGGGGGAGCCAGCTTCACTTAACAACCATGCCCACTAACTTGACAACAGCAGTGATTCACTTAACAACTGTGGCAAGAAAGATCGTAAAATGGGGAGCAAAACTCACTTAACAAATGTCTCACTTAGCAACAGAAATTTTTTGCCTCAATTGTGGTCATAAGTCGAGGGCTACCTGTGCCTGTTGTAAGTCACTTTTTTCAGTGCCATCGTAATGTTGAACAATCACTAGATGAAAGGTCCTTAAATCAAAAACTATTGTATCCAGAAAATGGGCCAATTAAGTAAGTAAGTGGGTTGTGTATTGTGTGATTGCAACCGTTTCTCTCTTTTTGTAAACATTCCTCTGGCTTGAAGTAGCCGGACAAAGTAGGCCTCTGTTTCTGTTGGTGCCGATATTCCACCATGGAGATCAGCCAAAAAATATTCTTGTTGGATCAGTGTGGTGAAAATGATCAATGTGGTGTCGCAAAGGTGCTTTTTCATGAGGCAACTGGAGTTTCTTGTTTTTCTTTGATGATGTTTCACTGCTTGAGGAAGCTTCTCAGATGAGAAACAAAATGTCTTCAAGGAAAAACAACGAAGTGAAAAAAATACCTTTGGGATAACTATGACCTGGATGACTGAGAATCTCCATAGATATATCAGTATGGTGAAAATTAGTCCAAACAGCCAAGAGAAATGAGAGATGGTAGATCTCCAGTCTTATTTTTATTGGTTTGTTTTTAAAATTTATAGGCCACCCCTCTTACCTCCAGGTGTAACTCTTGAGTCTTCATCATGTTTTTCCGTTGCCATTTTGCTTAGCCAGTTTCCAACCCACATCATTCCACTGAGTTGCTGGGAAGTTAAAAATGAGACATCAAGAATATGTTAATTTCATTGAATCTCACTGCTGTATTAACTTGAGCTTCAAGCAACGAGGGGCAATATTGCTGCAAGAACCTTTAAAAAGAGAGAGAATAATTAATCAGCCCGAAACCATTCATCCTTTCTCAACTCTCATTCCAAGGATTTGAATTTCAATGGATATAGTCTGCCATCAATCGCCTTGATTGAAGAGGCCCATGATGTTAAATTAACCCAAAAACAAAGCCAAACAAAAAAATCAAGATAGGGAATGCATACAGAGCACGGCTGTGAAATTCGTTTTCTGACTCCTTAATGATAGCTCTGTTCTGCATCCCTTGACTGGGAAGGCTTAGAACAGAGGAGTCAGCAACCTTTTGAACAGCTGCTCCGCCTCCTTTTCCATAGGGCTACACTGGAGGGTTGTTGTTTTTTTAAATGAAATTATTTTCTGCAGAGCTCCAGGCTGAATCTGACTTATTTTCAGATACACCTTACTGTATCTTTTGCTGTCTTTTCCTACAACCAAATTTGACCCACTTTGGTAAATCTGGGGATACTTATACTGCTGGTTAGCAGGCACCCAGAGGCCCCAAAGCAACTTTCTTTAAGGAGACATTGTCCCCCCCAACCTTAATGCCCAAGAAATAAGTGAAAACATATTAAAATAGGTATGCACACCATTAGTTAAGCTGTGAATCTTTTCCGGTTTTCAACTAAAAACTAGAATCCCGAGCTTTCTCATAAGGCAATTGGTTAGAATCATTTTACGGGTGACCTTCTTTGCTGTTCCAATGTACCTCCATTGAAAGTTCTGGAGGAACTTCAAGGCTTGTCTAACTTAGAACCAAAATATTCTTGGTCAAGAAGCACAAGACCCAAGCATGATTAAGAATTGCATGGATGGAACTAGGATCTCAGAATCAACAGATAGGTAGAGCTGGACTCAAAATGGGGGGGCTCTTTTCCCAAAGGAGCATTCTCAATATCTTTGACCAATGTTGGTTTTGTGACACATGGCTTCAATTCTACAATAAGCAGACCAAGAGAGCCAAATAGAAGCACGTGGTCCACATCCTCTTGGTATAAGATGTTAGAGTTGTGCCGTTTAGTCAATCAGAATGGAGCTGGAAGGGACTTTGGAGTTCTTTTAGTCCAGTGGTTCTCAACCTTTTTAATGCCGTGACCCCCCCCCCCAACCGGTCGTAAGTTGAGGACTACTCAACTGATGCAGCACCGTTTGCAGAATGGGACTTTTGGTGGGCTCAGCAGGGCAGAGACAGCCTGAACAATTCCTATTGGCTTTTGAAAGCCAATAGAATAAGACTCTATTCAAGAGAGTCTATTCTATTGGCATTCAAAAGCCAATAGAATAAGAGGGAGTAGCACAGCTAAGGAAAAGGGGGGGGAAATGGCGGACTGCGTTGTTTGGCGACCCCTGTGAAATGGTTGTTCGACCTCAAATGGGGTCCCGACCCACAGGTTGAGAACCACTGTTTTAGTCCAAGCCCCTGCTCAAGCCATAGAACTATACCATTTGAGACAAGTGGCTGTCCAGTCTCTCCTTAAAAACCTCCGGTGTTGGAGCACCCACAATTTCTGAAGGCAAGCTGTTCCACTGATTAATTGTTCTCATTGTTGGGAAGTTTCTCCTTAATTCCATGTTGCTTCTCTCCTTGATTAGTTTCCATCCATTGTTTCTTATCTTGTCTTCTGAAGCTTTGGATAATAAGTTGAACCCCTCTTCTTTGTGGCAGCCCCTCAAATACTGCTATCATGCCAGCCCTAGTCGTTCTTTTCTCTAGAGTAGCCATACCCAATTCGTGCCACCATTCTTTAGACTCCAGGCCTTTAATCCTCCTAGTTGCTCTTTTCTGCACTTTTTCCAAAGTCTCGACATCTTTTTTGTAATGTGGTGACCAAAACTGGATGCAGTATTCCAGGTGTGGTCTTATAAAGCAGTTTTATAAAGCAGCACTAACACTTCACTTGAGCTCTGTCTCTTGAGCTCTGCCAGAACTGACAGGCCGTGTCTCTTCTGCAGCCTTTCACACAATATTCATTTGTTATAATATTGTATATATGAATTAACAAATAAAGGAATGCATTCACTGCAATTATGGTCCCCTTCTGCTTGATTTACTTGTCAGATTGTATTCACAGCTATGTAAAGGATCTGCTTGGCCAGGCTTCTGTCAAATATCGCTCTTCCTCCTTGGTAACATCAACAAAATGGGGCAGGCTGAGCAGGTAAGGCTGCTTTCAAAATTTCTCTTTTCCCTTTAAGTCAGGGGTGTCAAACTCAATTTCATTGAGGGCCACATCAGCATTGCGGCTGCCCTCAGTGGGCCGGGTGGGTGTGGCCAGGGTGAGTGTGGCCTACTGGGTGGGTGTGGATGGAGTGGGTGTGGCCTACTGGGTGGGCGTGGCCAGCTCTACATCGTTCGCGTCAAGGGTGCCTGTGGGGGCCTGGGCAGGAATGGGACAGATCTGAGGGTCTCTGGCAGAAGGGGCTGGGACCAGGGCAAGTGCCAAGGCATGGTCCACTGGAGGAGCCTCACAGTTCCTCTCAGGCCATGCGTGGAGGGCTGGATGGTGGCACGGGCTGCCCGGAGCCCTGAGCAGCAGAGGTCAAATGCCCAGCCTGGCCCTCGAGCACCTGCGGCACCAAGCCATTTACAGATGACCTTGTGGAGCTAAGACTGAATATGTGTCAACATAGATGGCCACCACAAAATTGTACATTGGCTCCCGATTGGCTTGGGCCAGGGCCAAGGCAGCGGGGGCCATTCCCTCAGTGTTTCCAGGATGGCTTCATGGGCCACATGAAACCACTTCGCGGGCTGCATCCGGCCCCCGGGCCTTGTGTTTGACATGTCTGCTTTAAGTGGTGGCAGGGATGGTGATGTGTGCAGAGGTGGGTGGGCTAGAGGAAAAAGAGTCAAAGCTCGAAAGAAGAAATTATCATAACTTACATGGTCTCTAGGGTTAGTGGTTAAAGACACTGAGCTTGACAGTTGGAAAGCTGACTACTTGGGTTCGAGAGCCGAGCGCTATGCGATGGGGTGAGCTTCTGTTCTTGACCCAGCTCCTGCCCACCTGGCAGTTTGAAAGCATGCAAATATGAGTAGATTAATAGGTATCACTTTGGTGGAAAGGTAGTAGCATTCCATTCGCCTTTGGCATATAGCCATGCTGGCCACATGACCTTGGAAAATGTCTTTGGACAAAGCTGGCTCCCTCAACCAAGAAAGGTAGTGGAGCACTGTGCCCTAGGTCAGACACAACTGGACAGGGAAACTTTTATCTTTACACTGTCTCTGGTAAAGTGTAATAGGAATAGAGATGAACATGTGTCAGCTAATCCCCACTAGAAGAACATCTGTGATCCCCTGTAATGAGAAGTAGAAAAATGATGCTGTAATGTTGCATAATAATGATACAATATTATCATCATCAACAACAATAAAGCCCTTATACAGGAATTTTCCGGTTGTCCAGGAAATTCAGGGGACACTGTGTATGTTCCTGTGTGTACAGTTCTGTGATAGCTCTCCTTCGAGAAATTAAAGCCTTGTTCCCAAGACCTTCAATTATAGTGCCTGGTGTTTGTTTTCCAAGGTGTTCTAACTAATATTCCAAGATATTCTTTCACTTAATGAAAGGTCCATGAGGTCCATGCCAATTCAGAGACAAGAGGAGGAGTCAAGTCACCGTACTGGAAAATGTGAAAATTGTGGTCTTTTATTTCAATCAAACAATGAATTTTCCAGGACGACAACAACAACAACAAATCCCTTTACGTACCTCTCACAAAGCCAATGCACAGCCACCTTTGTGTAACCTAACTCGCAAAACAGTAGTGATTCGTTGGCAAATTCCTGCAAGGATTTCAACAGCCATCAACCAAGTTGTTGCATTTCTCACCTTCCCTCTTCAAAGTGGGCTTTGATTAAACAACATTACCATAAATGCCCTTCTGGGTAGGAATTCTGGGTAGGAATTTCCAAATCTACTTAAATATAAATTGGGGATTAATTTAATAATTGTCTTTGGTGCTGAGAAGGAATGGCAAGGAAAGGACCACAGAGAGTGAAATGTGTAAATACAATTCGAAAAGGAAACCAACCTGTTTTGGGTCCTTTTACAAGTTTAAGCCAAGCACATAATGCCAAGTAACCTAACCCTTGTTAATAAAAATATATCAAAGCAAACAAGACAGAGTGAACCATGGCCAGAGGGTAAATAAAAGGCAGACACGAATTTTCTGAAGTCTTGAACAGAGTGCAGTTCTGTACTGCTGCCTAAACTGCTTGCCTCCTGTACTTCTCCTGGCTGCTCTTTAAAATCAACTTCAAAAATTTCAGTATGGCTTGCAATGGTCTTGAGATGGGATTGGACTGTGCTCTTTCCAATTAGAGTTATTGCTTGAGCTGATTGGTTGTTATTCTGCTTCCTGCCCTTCCCATCCATTCAGGGAAGGCCAACCTCATTGGCTCCCTTCTTGCTTTCCCACCACCTCTCCAGAGTGCCACAAAGCTTTTCCTAGTGCCCCCCCCCTGTCTTTTTGGGGACAATTCTCTTTTCAGTAATCCTGATGCCTTTTAGCACAGAACAGAACAGAATAACAGAGTTGGAAGGGACCTTGAAGTTCTGCTAGTCTAACCCCATGCACAAACAGGAGGCTCTACCAGGGGTAGGCAACCTTGGCTCTTTTATGACTCGTGGACTTCAACTCCCAGAATTCCTGAGCCAGCCATGCTGAGGGAAAAGGAAGAGGTTTCCAAGCTGAGCCATGCTGGCTGAGGAATTCTGGGAGTTGAAGTCCACAAGTCATAAAAGAGCCAAGGTTGCCTACCCCTGCTCTATACCATGGCTGTCCAGTCTCTTCTTAAAAACTTCCAGTGTTGGAGCATCCACAACTTCTGGAGCAAGTCGTTCCACTGGTTAATTGTTCTCATTGTCAGGAAATTTCTCCTTAGTTCTAAGTTGCTTCTCTCCTTGATTAGTTTCCATCCATTGCTTCTTGTCTTGCCTTCTGGTGCTTTGGAAAATATGTTGACCCCCCCTCTTCTTTGTGGCATTCCCTCAAATATTGGAACAATGCTATTATGTCACCCCTACTTCTTCTTTTCACTAGACTAGACATTCCCAATTCCTGCAACCGTTCTTCATTCTTCTCTCTCATTCTTTCCCACATATTTGCACCTACAGATCCATTCATTTTCCCTTTTGAATGCAATCCCCCCTGTTTTTAATAGCATGGCTGATCAGATGCTATGACAATTAAAACAACAGAGAAACAGGTTGTTCCATGGTTTCTACTTTCATCTGCAGGGCCAAGGACAAAGTTTCTTGTTGGTTTCTATCCTGACCCAATAAGCTATTTTTACTTCATTATAAAGCTACATTTACAGAATCTTGCAAGTCTGAAAGTACAATTGTCCCTCTGTCCTCTTTTTAGCCTGAGGAACTAGGGAGGGTCCTTCCTGAGCCTTGTTGTCCCATGCACTATGCTCAGTGGTGGGATTCAAATATGTGAACAACCGGTTCTCTGTGTGGATGCTGCTTCCGGAAGTCCATTCTGGGCCTGGGAAACAACAAATTAGCTACCAGTTCTGCCGAAGAGGTGCAAACTGGCTGAATCCCACCACTGACTATCCTGCTGCAGACTATGTTGTCTCTTATCTGTCCATTCCATAGGCAGCTTCCCTTTGCTCCATCTCCCAAGGTCTTTCCCATATATCAGGGGTAGGTAACCTTGGCTCTTTCATGACTCATGGACTTCAACTCCCAGAATTCCTGAGCCAGCCATGTTGAGCGGAAAGGGAGAGATTTCCAAGCTGAGCCATGCTGGCTCAGGAATTCTGGGAGTTGAAGTCCACGAGTCATAAAAAAGCCAAGGTTGCCTACCCCTGCCATATACAGTATCATGATTCTTTCATAACACCATTCCTAATTTTAATATGGAGGAGAAGGAGGAGGGGGGAAAGGAGAGGGAGAGGGAGAGGGAGGGAAGGAAAAGGAAGAGACGGGAAGGGCAGAATCACCTCAGATAGTGATATGGGCAGCATATAAATTTAATAAATAAATATAAATTTATCAGGGCTCAACTAAGTTGTTTATTCCACCGATGAAAGATATACAACCATATAGCCAATAATGTGGATATCTGATCTTATAGAACTCTGTCTAAAGTGCTTTTAATCCTGCCATGTCCTGAAATGGATTCAGGGTCTATCTGATTTCTGGATCACCCCAAAGATGAGAAGAATAAAGTGGGGCCATTTTTAAAAGAATGGCCCCACTGCGGAAGAATTTTCTTAACCTTAATCTTCCCCCTCAAGTGTGCTTTGAAGCTTTCTCTCTCTCGATTCCACATTTTATCATATGTATTTTTTAAATATGAGCAAATCCATTAGCTTTTGCTATTGTGATTTCAATGTATTTAAACTTGTGTTTTTGTTTTAAAATTGTCGCGAGCTATCCGGGGAAAGATTGTCGCCCTAAAGACTTGGTACACAATTAAACAAAACGAAACAATAAAGAGGAATCCATGCAGTCACGGAAGAATTTCAGTCCTATGGACAAAGTTTAGCTTGATGTTAAGTAGTGCTGATAGACCGAGAAAGGGTGATGAAACCGAGATTCGTTTATTTCCTGCAAAGTAAAGTTGGCTGATTTAATCTCTTGCTTTGTTCCTAATTGTGTCTTCCCTATTATTTCCTCTGGCACAATTTGCACACAAGCAGCTGCCCCATATCTGCTTTGCTGTACCTCAAACTGTACTTAATTATTTTGGACAGGAAAGAGCTCCTCAATTCTTAATTGACAAAGCACCATTGGAGTCTGGCCTTCAGCAGCCTCCTTGCAAGTTAATGGGAATCTGGAAGAAAATAACTCATCTGTTTTGAAGGAAGGGCAAAGTTGCTGTCTGCAAGGCAGAGTGAGAATTTTACACTCAAAATATTTGCTTTCACTTTTAATCAGGGACTACCAGATTCGTCACCTCTTATTTGTCAATTAGTACTTTTTTTGAAAGACAATTAAGTGCACCAACTCTAACACCCTGCCATGTCCCAGTCTTCAGTTCTTTCCAAATATTTTGGCGAGGGACAAAATTTCTAGCTTAATGATCCTGCATTGGAAAAAAAAAAAAAAGGTTATCTCAAGAGTTAACCTTAAAATCTGACATTATGTTGCTTTTATTCTTCTCATCTTCCCTGTTATCTTTTCCTATTGGTATCTTATGATTTATCACTTTGTTGTTTGTATCTTATGATCTATGATTTATCACTTTGTTGTTTGAATATACACTGAGACAGTGGTGGGATTCAAATATGTGAACAACCGGTTCTCTTTGTGGATGCCGCTTCCAGAGGTCCATTCTGGGCCTGGGCAACAAAAAATTAGTTATCGGTTCTGCCGAACTGGTGCAAACCAGCTGAATCCCACCACTGCACTGAGAGCTTATGTATGTACACTGAGAGTTTATGTTTGTATGTATATTATACGTTTGTATGTACACTATATGTTTGTATGCACACTGAGAGCTTATGCACTAGAGACAATTTCCTTGTGTGTCTAATTATACTTGGCCAATAAAAAAATCTATTTCTATTTCTATTTCTATTATATATATTATTTGTAGGCATCTTTACATGACTTCAATAGACACTGGTGATCAGAATCCACTTGCCTCCTATATACAGGTGGTCCCGGTGATGGGATTCAAATATGTGAACAACTGGTTCTCTGTGTGGATGCCGCTTTCGGAAGTCTGTTCTGGGCCTGGGCAACAAAAAATTAGCTACCGGTTCTCCTGAACTGGTGTGAACCAGCTGAATCCCACCATTAGGTGGTCTTCAATGTACAGCCAGAATTGAACACATTTCCGTTGCTAAGCAAGACAGTTGTTAACTGAGTTTTGCCTCACTTTAATACCTTTCCTGCTATGCTTGTTCAGTGAATTACTGCAGTTGTTTGGTTAGCAACATGGTTGTTAAATGAATCTGGATTCCCCGTTGACGTTGCTTGCCAGAAGATCTCAAAAGACGATCATGGGACTCTAGGACGCTGCAACTGTCATAAATATGAACCAGTTGTCAGGCATCTGAATTTTGATCACATGACCTGGGAGGTGCTGCAACAGCTGTAAGGGTGAAAATGGTCATAAACCGCTTTTTTCAGTGCCGTTGTAACTTTGAATGGGTATGAAACAAATAGTTGTAACCTGAGGACATGTCTAGTTGTGTACGTGTCCCTATTTAGCAGCGTGAAAGGTCTGTTAAAAATGGGTAACCAGTTAATGAGTGAAAAACAAGTGCACAATTAAGGCACTCAATTTTTAAGGGATCTGCTGGTGCTCTCTATTATTTAATCAGTTGCAATTAGCGTGAGTTGAATGTTTCTTCTTCAACCTTCTCCCAAACATATTTGGAATTCTGACCACAATACAGAAATGGCACTTACATATGTGTCCTTATTTGCTCCTGAGATTAAACTGTGGAGGCCTTTTGAAAGACACAGTTGTGACTCAGATTTTTCAAGTTTAGCAAGATTGCAGAGAAGTCCTGTCTGGGACTTGTTCAGCCTCTTAACAGGAAGGAAAACAGTAAAACCCAAAAGTGGAATTTGAAAGGAGAAAAATAATTGGCCAGATATAAAAATGCCATTGCTATGAGTCAGCATGAGGCAGAACTAGTTCCCCACCATAGTGGAGAAATCTTTCAGAGGTACAACACCTCTGTACAATTAAGTGATCATTTCTTGGAAGGTTCTGGATCACTGACTGCTTGAAGAGCAGAAGCACATCAGAATCAAGACTGTCCACATTCCTGGTACCAACATCATGTAGAAAAGGCTGCAATCAATGTGGGTGTAGCATCTGTAGAGAACCTCCCAAGGTATTTGCCCTCTTCTGGAAGAATTCTTGACCAATGGCACTTCCAAATTTGGATTCTGATGTAGGAGGCCTACTTCAGAGTCATCTAAACCTATTGGTTAAGGCAGTAGATTAGAAGCTAGGAGATTGTGAGTTCTAGTCCCGCCTTAGGCATGAAAGTCAGCTTGGTGACTTTGGGCCAATCATCAGGAGACTATGAGTTCTAGTCCCGCCTTAGGCATGAAAGCCAGCTGGGTGACTTTGGACCAGTCGCTCAAACTCAGTCCAACTCACTTGAAAGAGTTGCTGTAGTGGTGGAGAAAACAGGAGAAGGGATATTGTGTGTGTTCACCACACACAATAAAAATAATAAACATAAACATAAACATACATCCACGAGCACTAGATCTGCTTCCTGAACTTCTAAACAGTGAATTTTATGTACTACTATTGGAATAATCTGTTTGGAAGAGGCCTTGTCTAGAAGGATTCCCCATTTGGGCTGAGAGCTAAGACAATCACAGGGCTGACCTGTGGAAACATTGCCCTCTAGCTGAACTTTGGCCTTGCATTTTTCCAGGAGAGTTTCTGTCACCCTCCACTCTCTGGATACCTGGGATGGTCCTGCATATGCAACAGTGGCATAAATAATGCCCCCCTGCCAAACTCCCCGGAAAGCCAGAGGGGAAAGTCACAAGGATGTGTGTGATGCCCGAAGATCAGAAGATCAACGAGGTTAATGCTGAGAGAATGCAAAATGTTCCTCCCAAAGGTTAAAAGGTCAGATGTCAAACACCTTTTGTTAAGCGCTTAAAGGAATGATTAATAGTGATCAGCTATTGGGCAATTGTATTATTCTGGAGAGGGGCTTGCAACTCTGCTGTGCGCATATGCAGGATTAAAAA